AAGTGTGAGTGTGAACCCCTTTCTTTGTCCCAGCTTTCCCCCATATCAAACCTAAATGCTTGATCTCCACCTGTCCTCATTTCTTTTCTCCTGTCTCTTATTAACACCCACAAACAGCTGTTCCCCATGCTTTGCATTTTAACATTCCTCATGGTACTTAGTAAAAGCCTGATATAGATGACCTCTTTATAACAGAGCTGCATTTATTCTTGTCGTGCTTTAGTTGTTTTTGTGGCTGTTTTCTGGACTATCTCCAAATTTTCCTGCTAGGTTTTAGCAAGCTAAGACCCAGAGCTTGATGTTTGCTCACAAAGGTCTGACTAGCACATGTATATAATTGTGGTTTAAGGCCCTTGCACTCAGTACTGGGACTGCCTCAGAATGGATTAATTTTAATTTCTGCATTATCCTAACTTGCAAACATCCAGTGATCTATGCTGCTATGGATGGATGCCTTCTGTAACATAAAAGAGACTGTGGTTGTGGGGTTTTTTTTTTTTTAATGGACTATGAACCATATCTGGTTTGGTGTAAATAGTTCATATTTGACCCGACCTGTCTGAGGAGACATCACTGAACCAATTATTGACCTTGAGATGCTGACAAGGGGAATATGGAATACCTGGAGCTCAGGGGAGAGAGGGTCCAGAAGAGAGAATTATTTAAGAGATACTCATGTGAGAGATGTGGCCAAAGCTTTTGCCAACAGTGTGATTACAGGTGAATAGTGGGGACAGTGAGGTAGGAATTAAAGTGTCCATTTCGGAGCAAGACTGGAAGTTCGTTTGTGTAGTGCCAAGTAGAGGCAACAATGTGAGAAGAGTGTTATTTTGAGCCTTCTTTTAGGCAATCGTGGAGAGAAGGAGAGAGGAAATAGGGAAGGAAAGAGGAAGCAGAGGGAAAGAGTAAGGGCACAAATATTGTGTCAAAGGAGAGCTAAAGGACTTTTGCGTAGGTTTTTACCCCATGGAATTCAGAGTGGAAGAAAAGCCTCAACGAAGGCACGTTAAAAAAAAAAAAAACCTAAAATGAAAAGCTCCAGGGAAGAGTTCATTGTGATGAGCGCTTAGGACAACAAAGAGGTGAGTGTCTGCCAAAACCCAAATCCTGTGCTTACCACTTAAAGGACTAAGGAAAATATTAAGACCTTCCTGACTCCTGTGCCTGCGGTGACCTCCACACATCCTTAATGGAACATTTAAAGAATGTTGGCTTGGCTCAGAACCACCCCCTGTGTCAAGGCTCTCACTCCCTTCTGGGATCTGCCCAGCCCTTAGTGCGTGTGATGAAGTGTCCTTGAGGGGATCACTAGGTCACCTTGAGCTTTCTTTGTTCTAACTTGCATTTCAGAAGCCCATGGGGAATAGGACTTAAGTCCTTGTCAGGATCCTGAAAAGCTGCCCTGTAACTCCCCAGATGTATGACTTCGGGTGTTGGTGTTTCCCCAATATACTGATGTATTTTCTTCTCTTTCTCTTTTGGCTTTCATATTACTACTAGAATAAATGCTATCTCATATAAAGAGAGTGTCTTTATGGTCTGTCCGGTACAGCCTGCTGAATTCAGAAGCTGCACACATATGTAATGCCTTAATGTTACACCTCTTTAGTTTTTGAGTGTTTGTAGGAAGGGGAAACCAGCATCTAAGAAGATAAGGCATAGACTACAAGAATTCAGGACCTGATCCTTTGCCCTTGGAAGCCTCAGAATGTTCCTTTAGTCATTGCCTGGAGTTTGAGGTACCTTCCTTGGCTTTGCTGCAGACCACCCTGAACACCTGGGGAGGCCACCACAAACAGTCACTGAACACAGCTTCGTTCCTGAGGGATGCATCCCATACTTGGAGAATTCCCAACGGCTGGCTCCTCTTTAGTTTGGTTTTGGTATAAGAACAGACTCAATAAGAGTGAAAATAAGGGTTTTAGTGGAATCCTGATTTGGGCAAACTAACATCATGTTGCTTCAATAAACTGATTCAGGGGGCTGGGGATGTGGCTCAAGCGGTAGCGCGCTCGCCTGGCATGCATGCGGCCCGGGTTCGAGCCTCAGCACCACATACAAACAAAGATGAGTCCGCCGAGAATTAAAAAATAAATATTAAAAAAAAAAAAAAAAACTGATTCAGCAAATTCCTAACATCAACAACCCCTGCAGAATACATAGGCTTTAGGGAGACTTTCAAATTGCTACCCAACCCCCACCAGCACACATAGAACTGTCTTCCTTTTGACCTAACAGTACCTATCCCTTCAACACATCATAAAATTATCAGTTCCCACTTTTGGAACATGAGATGAAGTGGCCTAATTTTTACACTTCTTCAGAGCATGTTAATCCAAGCACATCTAATGACTTAAATTCTGTGCCTTGTCTCATCTTTAAAACAGAGATAATCAATCACAGCACCTAACTAATAGGGTTGCTGAGGAGACCAAAGTAATTAATACATGTAAGGCACTAAGGATATCTGACACTATGGCATTATTACTAGGTGTTATTCAAGTTTTCCCTCCCGATTACTATGTGGAGAGCACTTAGGCTAAATGACTCAGTACAGCACTTTAATCCAAAGAGTTTTATGTGCATCCTCGAAGCATTATGCTCAGATGGCACAGTGTTCCCACACTGCTCCCTGAATGGTCTGGGGTCACATAGATGTCACCTATGTTGCTCCCCCCATGAAAAGCAAAACTTAAGCCATGACTTGAAGGGGGTGGGAGAGAAAAAAATTAAAAAACAAGAACTTGAATGGCTTGGATTTGTGTGACCTAAGGATACAGCTTATCTTAATATTGGTGTGTGTTTGTGAAACAGATATGAAGCTGGGCTAGGGTGTTAAGGGAGGCACAATGATTGAACCTCAATAAGAAAAGATAGTATGTTGAGAAGGAGCAAAACCACTGTGTTAGTCTGCTTTGTTCTGCTGTAACAGAATACTTGAGACTGGGTAACTTATAAAGAACGGAGATTTATTTCTTACAGTTCTGGAGGCAGGGAAGTCCAGGATTGAGGAGTAACTTCTGGTGAGGGCTTTCTTTCTGTTTCAGCATGGTAGAAAGCATCACATGGTTAGAGAAAGCAAGAGATTGAAAGTGCAGCCTCAAGCGCTTTTATAATCAGCATTGATCCATCCATGCATGAGGGTGAACCCCTCATGGCCTGGACACCTCTCATTAGTCCTCACTTTCTAACACTTTGCATTGGGGATTATATTTCCAACACATGCTTTTCTGGGGGATACTTTCAAACTTCCTTCCCTGTTGTGCTTCATTTTCAAATGTCAGAGGAATACTCTGCATAATGAACAGAACCTTGATTTCCTTTTTGGCCATTCTTAGCAATGATTTTTGGTTTCTTTCCATTTACAAAACCCTGGTAACTGCTATTAGTCCCATATTAGTGAAGACATATTAGTGGAAGACAAGAATTTTATGGCTGCTTTGCTTTAATTTCAACCACTAAGAACACAGCAAGAGCTTAGTTCACCCCTGGCACACCCCAGGATGTGGACAGCCTTGTGGAATAGCACTGCTGCCAGAGCCAGGCTCCTGCCTCTGCCTTCCTCCAGGGGATCCTGCCATCCTGAAGGTCCTTACACACAACAGGGAATGAATCCTTTGTTGAATTCTCAGTGGATGAGACTATAGAGATGATAATGGCATTGGCATGGGATAGGACAAGATGATGAGAATTATCTTGAGCCAATGATGTTGAACCTTCAGGCGGATATGGTGCATATTTACTTCAGGCCTCCTTCTCCTTTATGCAAAGGGTAAGGCTTTACTGATCACGTTATTCTTCATTTAAAATTCAGCAAATGCCCATCAGTGGGGAACTGGTTAAATTATATGACACCTATCTTCTGATTGTCTTAGACAGATTCAGAAACTTCTATTAGATAGTTCTTAGTATCCTGTTCTTTTCCCTGTGTAGAAATATAATTATATTTTTATTTTTATGAATTTTAGTATCTGTTTTCTTCATTAGACTGTAAGTCCAATCAAGGCAGGGACCATGAGGGCAGGCACTGTGTGCCCAGAGCTTAGAACCATTCTTAGTATACAGTAGATGTTTGATATCTGAATGTATAATAAATACATCAATAGAATATTATACAATCATTTAAAATATGATAATGTGGAACTGTTTATTGACATATAGGAATCCAGAAAATAATGACAAGTTGAAAAAAAATTAAAATGATCAAATAGTACATATACTATGATCCAATTTTTATAAAAAGAATAAGCATATAGATACATCAAAATGTTAATAGTGGTAGGACTATGGATTATATCTTATTTTGTTTGTAACTTCCATATTATCTGAATTTTTAAAATAACAGTATTTATTTAATTTATTATTTTGATTTAAAAACTATTCCCATTTAGAAAAAAAATTCAAGTAGACATTAAAATGATCTTTTTCTGCCACAAAACTTCACATGAACAATGAATTTTGGCATACAGTATTCAATTAAACAATATCAGAAACAACTCAGATTTCTGAATTCAAATCCCAATGCTGGATTACATTCATCTTGATATTTCTGATTAAAGTGAACCTTTAACAAAATAATCATTATGAAGCCTTCCTTTCTGAATAAATTTCATTATTTTATTTTTATATTCATAATTACTCATCAGACTCTTCTCTCCTTTTATTCATGTTCCTACTCAGGACATGAAGGATGGAATAGACACTTTTTTCTCTTCTTAATCTATTTGTAGCTAAAAATCAAGAAAATTAAAAGGCAGCAGGCTTTTGAATTTAAAAAAAAAAAATTAGCAGCTGCAACATTTAAAGTACTTTCCTCACATGAAGTAAGTTGTTGAAAGTGAAGTTTCTTCCCAACTAAATGCCAAAGTATATCCACTTTAAACAGGTACCTTTAACAGCCTTACTGATTATAAAACTATCATTAAGATTAGGCTATAATTTCCCCTTTTAAAAGCTGTTAATTTATATAAATAAGGCATTCATACATGATTCTCTCTACACAGAGCAAGAGTATATATATATATATATATATATATATATATATATATATATATACCTAAATATCTTAAAAGAAGTATAATTGCACTTATATATCGATAAGCATGATTATAGGGAAATGGAAAATGTTTTGGTATACAAATTCCTTTCCCCAATTAAGTATAAAGTTTCATTAAGAATTAGTTAAGAAAGAAAGGAAGGAAGAAGCAAATGCTGTGTGTATATGGCTACTTGCCTGTTAGTAACAATGCTTTTGTTTTCTTCTCAGTTTCAATCCACTGACACACAGACCTCAGCACCATATCAAGAAGTCCCACTCTGACCTATAAAATGTGACAGCCCCAGGAGACCTATTACACTATTACTCATTTTCATTAAACAGTTAACATAGTAGTGATAAATATTGTGCCTTAGAACCTTAATCATAAAATACAAATCATTTATAATACAAATTATGATGAAGAATGTGTGCTGGCACAACGAGGCTTTACATACTTTGGAAGCTCAGAAAGTTCAAGAATGTCTTATTCATCTTCATTTCAGATCTAGTAGCATAAAAGCTGGGTTTTCTAAGTAGGATTTCCACAAATTAGAGAAGCGTGACATTGTAGCACCATCAATAATTCTGTGATCAGCCGACCAGCTCACATTCATTATCTGTGCTTTATATACTTCTCCTTTCTGGTTAAATCGGGGAAGGGCCTAGAAATAAGGAAAACAAATAAATAGGTAAACTTTCATTGCTCAAAAGTCAAACTCTGCTGACAATGGTATAAAATCAGGCAAACCCTCTTCTCTATGATAGAGATGATGTAGACATCCCAAAATACTAACTCCTATTATTCCTATCTTTGGGAGGATGTGCCCTAAGCATTCCGTTTCTACAAGGTTATCTTATATCTCTATATAATTGCCACACCTACCATAGACTTCATCTCAATTTCAAATATTTATCAATATTTAACAAGCACCTATTATGTGCCAGGTACTCTATGGACCCTGGGAGAGCCCATAAAAGTTGAGGATTCCAAGCCCCCTCACTGAGGACAAGAAGGAAATGAGCCTTATGGATACCTGAGGAGATGGTGGGGAGCACAACCAGAGTGTTGTAGGAAAACCAAAGCTGGAAGATGACTACAGTGGAGGGCAGGGGTGAGGGTGGAACACGGGGTGGGGTGGGGGTATGTCATGAAAGGTAGTGTTTCTCAATCTATATTTGGTAAAGGATCTTTTCTTAAAATAAAATGTCTAATCCATGGTAGGCTATTTTTTAAAAAGCATACTAAAAGTAAACTATTAAAAAAGAAATAGAGCCCGGCACAGTGATGCATGCCTGTAATCCCAGTGGCTTAGGAGGCTGAGGCAGGAGGATGCTGAGTTCAAAGCCAGCCTCAGCAAAAGCAAGATGCTAAACAACTCAGTGACATCCTGTCTCTAAATAAAATATAAAATAGGGCTGGGGATGTGGCTCAGTGTATCATTATCAGTATCAGTTCAATCCCTGATACCAAAAAAAAAAAAAAGAAAGAAAGAAAGAAATAGAAATTACTAGCTCCAACTTCTTATTGGATTTATTATACAAAATCACTCTGTAAACTGCTTTAAAAGTTTCCAAGGTCTACCCTTTCCATCTGTACTTACTGCCTCATCTTAGACACAATAGTTGCAGCCCAACAGAGGTCCTTGGTCACACTGAGTGGCATCCCTGTGGTTCTAGGTAGGCCATTGTGGCTACCCTGTTTTTGGATGAGTGAGATGAGAAGCCACTGGAGGTGTCTCAGCGGAACTCTTACTCACAAATGGGGAAGATTTCAAGAGGAGCAGGATGGTGGTGAGGAAAGGAACAGGAGCTTAGTTCTAGATCTGTTAAAACCTGAGATGCTTATTGACCTCCAAGCAGGATATGTGAGTTTGGATTTGAAAGCTGAGGTCCAGTCTGGAGATACAAATTTGAGAGACATAGGTGTGTAAATGGTATTACAGCCGTGAGACTGGATCAGATAAAGAAAAGGGCTAGAACTAAACTTGGGTACTCCAATGTTTAGATATTGGGGAAATGAGGGTGTACAACAAAGGAGACTCAGAGCTAATGGGCACCGAGACAGGAGGAAAACCAGTACAGCAAGATATTCTGCAACTCAATGGAATGGATCACTGTCTCAAATACAGTTAAAAGGTCAAGCAAGGGATTGTTGTACTCAGTGGTAGAGTGCTTGCCTAGCAGGTGTGAGGCACTGGGTTTGATCCTCAGCACCACAAGAAATAAATAAATAAGGATACTGTGTCCATCGACAACTAAAAATAATATTAAAAAAATAAAAGTCAAGAAAAGGAGAACAGTATTGAGTATTAAGGAGGTTTTGGTGTCTTAGACAATTTAGCAATAAGGAATTTAAAATTTATAGTTAAAAAAAAACAGGAAAGGAGAGATGAAATGGAGGGAGAGAGAAATTAAATACTATTTGTCCCTACTGAACAAAGACTACATTAAGTCACAATTAATATTTATATTCTAAGATCTATACTTCATATCTTGAAGAAACCATAGGTAAACCAATTCTTTAAAAATACACCTGGCTGATGCTGGGAGAACTGGAAATCCATATGCAACAAAATGAAAATAAACCCCTGTCTCTCACCATGCACAAAACTCAACTCAAAGTGGATCAAGGACATAGGAATTAGGCCAGAGACCCTGAGAGTAATAGAGGAAAAAGTAGGCCCAAATCTTTACCACATCAGATTAGGCCCCAACTTCCTTAACAAGACTCTTAAAGTGCAAATATAATCAAATCAAATAAAAAACTAATAAATGGTATGGTTTCAAACTAAAAAGCTTCTTCTCAGCAAAAGAAACAAACAACGAGGTGAAGAGAGAGCCTACATTTTGGGGAGCAAATTTTTGCCACAGGCAGGTCAGATATAGCACTAATCTCCAGAATACATAAAGAACTCAGAAGACTTAACACAAAAAAAAACAAACAACCCAATCAATAAATGGGCTTAGTTGCTGAACAGACACTTCTCAAAAGAAGATATACTTTTGATCAACAAATATATGAAAAAATGTTCAACATCTCTAGTAATTAGAGAAATGCAATCAAAACGACTCTAAAATTTCATCTCGCTCCAGTCAGAATGGCAATTATCAAGAATACAAGCAACAATAAGTGTGGTGAGGATGTGGGGGAAAGTGCATACTCATACACTGTTAGTGGGACTGCAAATTGGTGCAACCACTCTGGAAAGCACTATGGAGATTTCTTAGAAAACTTGGAATGGAACCACCATTTGACCCAGCTATCCCACTCCTTGCTCTATACCCAAAGGACTTAAAATCAGTATACTATAATAACACAGCCACATCAACGTTAATAGCAGCTCAGTTCACAATAGCTAAACTGTGGAATCAACCTAGATGCCCTTCAATAGATGAATGGATAAAAAAAAACAACAAAACTGTGGTATATGTACACAATGGAATATTACTTAGCATTAAAAGAGAATAAAATTATTACATTTGAAGGTAAATGGATAGAAGAATATCATGCTAAACAAAGTAAGCCAATCCCAAAAAACCAAAGCTAAACTCTGAAAAGTGGACGATGATCCATAATGGGAGGGTGAGAAAAATGGAGGAACTTTAATTGGGCAGGAGGGAGGGGGAGGGGGTATGGGGGAAGGAAAGATGGTAGAATGAGATGGACATTATTACCCTAGGTACATGTATGACTGCACATATGATGTGATGCTACACTGTGTACAGCCAGAGAAATGAAAAGTTGTGCTGCAAATAATAAAAAATATGTATCTGCTGAGCAGATATTTGTACACTAATGTTCATGCAGTGTTATTCACAATTGACAAGAAAATGGAAACAATCCAAATATTCACTGGCAGATGAATGGAGAAGAAAAACATAATATATACATACAATAGATTATTATCAAGGCTTAAAAACAAGTGAAATTCTCATATATACTACAATATGGATGAACTTGGAAAATTATATGCTAAATGAAGTAAGCTATACACAAAAGGGTAACTATGCATGATTCTACTTACATGAAGTATAAGAGTAGTTAATGCAAAGAGTAGAATGGCAGGTGCGGGGGCTGGGAAGAGGCAGGGTGGGTACAGACTTTCAGTTTTACAGAGAAAAAGATTTTGATTGACCTGAACCTAAACAATCTAGATCACCATTTATTGCCCATGGCAGCAGCCACCAGAATTGCAGGGCTACCTGCAATTAGGAAGAAACAACTGATTAAGCCAAACTTCACAAACTCACACCTACAAAGTAAAGGGAAAAACTTAGGAATGATAACTCTACTTTGTGCTTACTTCCCTAATTTGTTTTAAATTGTTTTTAATTATGTAATACACATACCATAATTGATCCAAGGGCCCCAATGGCTACTTCAGGTGGCAATATCACTGGCTTGGTATAAGTGCCACCAATCTTTAAAAAAAGAAAGAGAGTAGGATTAAGAGTTTAAAGAACAAATGGCAAATATCATTTTATATTTTTAACTAAGCATACGAACAAAACTTTAAATGATGGTTCATGAATCTGAACATCATCACTCACTGATCCAATGTTGGAAAGAGTAAATGTTCCTCCAGTAAGGTCACTGGTGCTGAGCTGACCGGCAGAGCCCAATTTCTGGAGGCGGTTCAATTCAGTGGCAATCTCAAATACAGAGCGGATCTGAACATTTTTCACATTAGGGACAATCAACCCCTGTTCAGTATCCATTGCTATCCCAATGTTATGTGAAGCCTAAGAAATAAAAAAATTATACAACAGTTTTTTAATAAATAAGTTAAAAGTAAAGGAAGGATAAAACTTCACCATTTTCTAAAATAACCATCAACAACTACTTTCTCCAAATTGACAATGACTTATAAGAAACAATTTTTTTTTTTTTTTTTTTTTTTTTGGTACCAGGGGATTGAACCCAGGGGCACTTAACCACTGAGCACATCCCTAGACCTTTTAAATACTTTATTTAGAGACGAGGTCTCACTGAGTTGCTTAAGGCCTCACTAAAATGCTGAGGATGACTTTGAATCTGTGATCCCCCTTCCTCAGCCTCCCAAGCTGCTGGGATTACAGGCATGTACCATGGTGCCCAGATACAAGAAATGATTTTAAGCAGGTATAGTGGCCCTTAACTCAGGAGGATCACAAGTTCAAGGCCAGCCTCAGCAATTTATGAGACCATCTTTCAAAATAAAAATAAAAATAAAAGGCATAATTTTGTTCGGCTTTCAAAGTCCCTGTATATCCTCTATATCTGGAGAGACTAGTAAAGATTAGCATTGGAGGTGGGTGCAGTGGCACACACCTGTAATCCCAGCAACTCAGGGGGGCTGAGGTAATAGGAATACAAGTCTAAGGTTAATCTTGGCAACTTAGCAAGATCCTGTTTCAAAATAAAAATAAAAAGGGTTGGGGATATGAGCTGGGGATGTATCTCAGTGGTAGAGCACTTAACTCACATGTGTGAGGCACTGGGTTCGGTCCTCAGCACCACATAAAGATAAAAAAATAAAGCTATTGTGTCCATCTACAACTAAAAAATATTTTTTAAAAAAAGGTTGGGGATATGACTCAGTGGTAGAGTGCCTCTGGGTTCAATCTCTAGTACTGCAAAAAGGAAAGAAAAAGACATGAAATAAAACAATTAAAAAAAATTTTTTTTGAAAAATGATAATTGCTTTGCCAGTAGGAAAGTAGGGCATATGTTGTTAGTGAGAGTGTAAACTGGTATAGATTTTCTGGAGAAGAGATGACAATCTGTACCAACATTCATAAAAAATTGTGCTAAGAGATAAATACAGAAGAATATAGGAATGAATAGGGATGTTGAATACAGATGGCTTTTAAGTTTGAGAAACTTCAAATAATCAAAATATTTATCATAGGTTACTGATCAGTTGAATATCAAAGCTATATTTATTGACATATAATAATGCCCACAATATATTACATAAAAAAGGAAAAAAGAAGCAAGAAAATTTTCAAATATTTTTCTAAAGTATGTAAAAAATGAAATCCTGGAAGAACATATATCTCAACATAAACAGTAAGTTACTTTAAAGTCATGGAATTGAAGGTAAATATCATTATTTTGTCTAAATTTCTTGTCCTATTTATTTAAACAAAATTAAATACAATTGCCTATTTTAATCATATTGGAATATTTTAAATCTGATCCCCTAAAGAATCTAAGCTCACTGTGTGTGTGTGTGTGTGTGTGTGTGTGTGTGTGTGTGTGTGTGTATTGCAGTGGATCAAACCCAGGGCCTTGTGAATGCTAGGCAAGTGCTCTTCTACTGCTGAACTATATCCTAGTCCTCTAAGCTCATATCTGGTTCTGTATTTCTAATGAGAAATGTACATAAGGATTGACATCCCACAAAAAGCTCTATCTTAATAACTCCAAACAAAAGAGTTCACTTGAACTGAATTCAAATTTTATTAGTTTTTTCGTTTAAATTATTCTCACTCTTAAAATTCTAGGAATTCACCTTTGAGGGACTTGCTTCTTTTGGGAGGCAGTTTTATCCCATACCTTAATTCTATATAAAAAAAGATTGCCATTTGAGGTATGATGGAAGTCTCTCTAACCTACAAGCATCATCTTCTATTTATAACAGACACTTTCACATTGCATAGCCAACCTTGTATGTTATATTCTGGCAGTTTTCATCCACAGAAGAATTAAGAATAGGAAACTGCAGTAATCCCAAAGAAGCAGCCTGTTTAATAGAAAGAGAATGCAAAGTTAGCATTTGAACGCAGAAAGGATAAGGAATTTGAAGGAATAAGAGATATAAAAGAGGGAAGGAGAGAATCATCTATGCTGAGTTTAATATCAAGCCTAATGCACTGAGGCATGACACTTCCACTGTTACTCTCAATCAATATGAATCACTGAATCACCTCTGTGTCTTCCTCTTTGCCTTTTCCTTTAATTTCCCTTCCTCTTTTTCCCTTAATACCATTTCTCTACTGCGCATATTCAGATTTCCCCAACTGTACCCAAAATGTCCTCAATAGCTTTCTCCACCCATGCAGGATTTTAATAATCGAGGTTCACTTGTATTTGGTGGTCTTGACTTGTATTAAACTTAAAAGGCAGCAAAATCAAACTGTTTAAGATTATTCTTAAAAAGAATCCACTTCCCTCATCTAGATCTATTAAAAATCTTAGTTTATTTGCGTTGTTTTGTTAATTCTGTCTGGATATGGTCTGACAGGAAAATAAATAAAATACTTGAACTAGAGTTAAGGAAAGTTATGGAAATCTTTCATAGTAATTAGTTTAGATAGGATGGGTTAAGGAAGTAGATCAATGAAGGCCAAATACAATGAAAACATTTGTTACAAATTCCTGAATTTTTATGACTTGAAAGTTTTAGCAAGCATTTCATTTGTTAACTATAACTTTTATCTTCTTCATGTAGAAATATATAAGTAAGGCTAAAGTGTTACACATAAAAAGTACTGTGAGCCAGGCATGGTGGCGCACCCTGTAATCCTAGCAGCTTGGGAGGCTGAAGCAGAAAGACTGTGAGTTCAGAGCCAGCCTCAGCAACAGCGAGGCGCTAAGCAACTCAGTGAGACCCTGTCTCTAAATAAAATACAAAAAAAGGGGACTGAGGTTGTGGCTCAGCAGTAGAGCGCTTGCCTAGCACGTGGGAGGCGCTGGGTTTGATTCTCAGCACTGCATATAAATAAATAAAGTAAAGGTCCATTGACAACTAAAAGAAAAAAAATTAAAAAATAGGGCTGGGGATGTGGCTAAGTGGTTGAGTGCCCCTGAGTTCAATCCCCAGTACATGTTCCCCACCTCCAAAAAAAAAAAGTGTTTTTGAGCATAACCCAAATTTGTAAAAGAAAATACAAGACACATGCCCATGGATTAGGTAATTTTCCCTCTACATAAATATTTTGTAGTATTTTTTAAAATATTTTTTTTAGTTGTAAGTGGACACAATATTTTTATTTACTTATTTTTATGTGGTGCTGAAAATCAAACCCAGGGCCTCCCGCGTGTGAGGCAAACGTTCTACCACTGAGCTACAACCCCAGCCCTTGTAGTATTTTTTAAACGTTCTAAAATCTATATGCTATTTTAAAACAAAGTTCACTAAATTTTATTTTCAAAATACCTATCAGATATTTCATTTAGACTGGAACAATAAAGAAAAATGGCAATAAAAGAGATCCAATATATTTAAGAACTGGTCTACTCTAGCTTCCAAATAGACATGCTATCACCAGGAGGCAGTGAGAAAAAGCCAGTCAAAACATGGTGGCACTCTCTTGCTATTCAAGGTTGCCTCCCCCCAACCCAACTCTTTTTCCCCTAAGGCCAGGGGAATTTCTTTGTCTCTCCTCTTCTTCAATTCCTATTCATTCCCCAATGAACTGCAATCATACTTGTACCTCGACAACACCTTCTTCCACCTATCTTGGTAGAGGCCACTCACAACTTCCCAATGATTACTCCAATAGCATTGCTACCCTTGTCCTGTTTAACCTTTGTGAAGCACAAAACTGCCATCTACTTCCCTCCTTTCTCTGGGGCAAGACAGGCTGAATCAATGGTCCCACTCCTCTTGGCCTCCCGGCCCTTAATAGTGCCCTATTAAGCACTGAGCTTCAATATGTGACTTGTTTTGGTCAAAGATAAGAACAAATTTGAAGCAGCAGAGCTTGGGGAAAAAATGGTCTTGGGGGGAAAAAAAGTGGGCTTGCACATTTCTGCTTTCCCTGTCAACCCTTCCAGTGCTGAGACCATTTATAGGTGAGCATGCTGGGGAGAAGAGAGATATGGGAGAGAAATGATTTATCCCTGTAGAGGCCATTCCATACCAGCCGGTCCCTTGCTCACCTATGAGCTGACTGCAGACATGAGAACACTGCTGAGGACAGCAGACTCACTCACTCTCCTACAGACTCAAGTGACTCAATAAACAGCTATTTTTTTTTTTTTTTAATATTTGTTTAGTTGTAGACGAACACACAGTATCTTTATTTATTTTTAATGTGGTGCTAAGGATCGAACCTGGTGCCTCACACATGTAAGGCAAGGACTTTACCACTGAGCTACAGCCCAGCCCCTAAACAACTATTTTTTAAACAATTAAATTTTAAGGTAGTTTGCTGTATAGCAACAGAAACCAGTTACTTGGCCTCTAAGCAACTCTTTCCTGGTCTATCTCCACTCACCATCAACTTTCTTTGCCAATTCAACTTCTACTCATCCCTGTGTAACCCTTCACCACCTTCTAATTCACACACAATTTGGGTGATGTCTTCCACCTATTTCCACTGCCTCGTCTCGACAGCTGACTCCCTACAGCTTTCACAGAGTCCAGATGCTCTCCTTCACCTACAGACATCTACTACATCTCATTTCTATAGAGCATGCACTTACTTGTCAGCGTGGCTGCTCAAGGAGAATGGTTTCTGTCTCATGAGTCTCAGTGTCCAGCAAAGAGACAACCAAGTAAACACTGGCAATACACTGAGATATACACATTAGAAGGGGAAAGAAAAGTGTATTTAACTCAAACAGTGACAGCCACAGAAGCTTCTAGAAGAGTTTATATCTAAACAATTTGGTATTTAGGATGTGCAGGTATTTGGTCAAGAGAAGAGCAGCATTTAAGAAGGAATTATGTATTCCACCAACTAGGCATAGCTTACTATGACTATCAGAGGCAACCATGAGAGAGAAGACTGGAGACAAAGACAGCAGGGACTTACAGTATTTGAATGTCATATTAAGGAGTTTGAAAACTATCCTAAAGGCAAAGAAAGAGAACCACTAAAAAGAGTCAGGAACTAATAAAATAATCTGTTTTAAGGAAGATCAGTCTTGTGGAGCAAGAAGGTAGAAACATCAGTATGCACTTTCAAATAAATACACCAAAACCAGAAACTTAAGAATTTTTACTGGTTAGCTATGTTTCCTTGACAGGTTTCTCAATCTTTTGGAGGCCTAAATTTTTTTAAAAAAAGGAAAATGAGGTCAGTAATATTTACATGTCAGGGTTACTCTGAGGATTAAGAGATACTACACATGGCATGCTTACTACAGGGCCTACCACATGGTAGCTACTTCACACTGGTCATTAATGTGAGCTATACTATGAGTTGCTCAAGGTCAGCTGATGGTTTCACTGTATACTGGCCCCAGGATCTAGTGACACTAGAAATGATTCATAGGAGCCTCCACCTAAGTTTGTTGAAGAAATGAAAATAAATGCATGTCAGCAATATATAAAATCAATACAAAATCTCATTTTAGTTCAAAGCAGACTTTCCTGTGATCCTTTCAGAATTAAAAGCTTTGACTAACTGGCAGGACAACCCCAACCTCCAACACCATCCTCATGTTCAGAGAGATAAGCAGATAAGAATATAATACACAATTCCAATTTTATAAGTTCTAAGGCAAAAAATAATGTGCCTGCACATTTTTCTAACTATACGATATGGTGAGAAGTAATATTTTATTAAAATCAGTTTAGCACATTGCATTTCTGCAAAAAAAAAAAACAAAAAAAGGTCAATGTCCTACTCACAAACATGTCTGAAACAAATGAAATCTCACCTTTAAGAAAAAGGGCATAAAGGAGAGTTTAATTCCACGAGATGCAGCAACAGGTTTTAATTCTTCTCGTAGTTTAACCAGTTCAGTAACGTCAACCTCATCACAATAGCCAAAATGAGGTATCTTCAGGGCTGCAGACATGGTCTTAACCATTGCTTTTTGAAAGCCTGGAAAACATTCAATTATTTTACTTATAAACCTGACATAGTATCCATTCTTCAGAAATTAACTATATACCAATTGAAGTGTTTCTGGAAAAGCTATCATAAATTATATGCTGAATTTGAACTTTCCCTTTCGTAAGACTTAAAAACATTGTATTATAGACATGCATCTATTAAAGTAGCTTCCTCCTAAACAAATGTACTGTTGCTGTGTGTTACTGTTATGACTTTACCTTTTACGGGTTCCGTTACGTCTTTGCCTGTGAATACCGGAGGCCTTGATATTGGTATGGGAACAGTCCTGTCTTTTGGTTTTGGTGGCGGTGGTATAATTTCAGCTTTAGGTGAAGGAGGTAATATAGCTCCTGTCTGCTTTTCCAAATAATTGAGAATATCTTCTTTAAGTATTCTGCCATCTCTTCCTGAGCCAACAACTTCACTCAACTTGATCTAATAAAATAATACATTTTAATGTTAAAAATACAACTGCTCTCTCTCTGCTGAATAAATTAGTATAGGAAATAACATTTTCATCATCTTATATATGCCACACCTCCCCTACATAAGTAATCACTTGTTACTTTTGTAACACTGTTCATTTGCCCATGTAGTTTTGAGGTATTTATATATAACCCATAGCTATTCATGAAAAACTTATTTTCAACAGTCAAGTATTTTTAAATTTCATCCATAATTTTACTTTATTTACTTATTTAGGCACTAGGGGTTGAGCCCAGAGGTACTCTACCACTGAGCTACATTTCCAGGCCTCTTTACTTTTCTTTTTTAACTGTAAAACAGGGTCTCACTAAATTGCTCAGGCTGACCTCAAGCTTGCAATCCTCCTTTCTCAGCCTCCTGAGTCGCTGGGACCACTGGCGTGCACCACCACACTCGGCTCTTTCCTAATTCTTTCTTGAGTTTTTCTATTCTTAGAGACTACATACATAAAAGGGAGAACTGAGAATTTAAATAAGAATACACACCATGACTAATTTAGACTAATATTTCTGATGTTGGTTACCAGTTAAACATATAATAGCTTAAATAATCATATAAAAGCTTTCTCAAATTATTTTTTTTGATGGTTGCTTTGGAAAAATTAGTACAAAACATTTAATTCTATTTCAATAAAACTAAACACAAGTTTGGATGATATCCTCACACAGTGTGTATTAATTTCTTAGAGTCATACTTCATTTTCTTTGTATTAGTGCATCTAGAGAAGATGACTTTTTTCATTTGTTCTAATTAGTTATACATGACAATAGAATGAATTTTGATACATCATACATAAATGGAGTATGTATAACTTCTCATTGGTCTGATTGTACATGGTGTAGAGTTACACAGATCATGTTATCATATGCATACAGGATAATAATGTCTGATTAATTCTACTATCATTCCTACCGAATGCTCCCTCCCTTCCCTTCTGTCTAGCCTGCAATACCTCTACTTAGAAGATGACTTTAAAAGAATAAAAAACTTATGAACTTTATAACAATAGTGGACTCTGAATTTCAACAAAAATTTTTAAGGAAATGCAAACAACTATAATGCCATTGATATTTAGTTTTAAATTCAATTCACAATTATTCAAACTGCAAGAAAAGAAAAAAAGTGACTTAGGATAATAAACTCCAACATTTAATTTCTAGTAGTTATACAAATATTCTAGTCATTATATGTATCTTTAGGAGGTCATGTAGGAAAACCAAACCATGTATTTCTTCTACAGGTGATCTTTCTATACATCTAAGAAAAAAGCTGGTAAAATGTTTTATAACTTTTAAAACAATAAATCATTATTTCATCTGATGTCCTAAATAACCTAGTGTGTCATATTAAAATTTCTATTTTATTCCCCCCCACTTCAGATGTTTCTTTCTATTGAATTGACTATTACACTTCTAAAGTTCTGAAGTAGCCAACAGACCATAGAAAGACATTTCTTTAGGCTCCTGCTTGAAACCAACAGCTTCAACAAACTGCTGGCCTTGATTCAGGGCCAAAATTTTCTGTTTTCTATTATGCTAGATGGTCTTCATATTTGAGTACACTTAACGATTACATACAATTTCATCAAGGGTATATAACATAATTTACATAAGCATTTCCTTGATTTTGAACACACATGTACTTTCTAATGTTTGGCTATATAAACACAAGGAAGAAAATGTCCCAGATTATTTTCTTGGGATAATTCCCCAAAGGCAGAGTAACTAGCTGAATGAATATGAACATCTTAATGATTCTATTATACATTCCCAAAACAGCTTTTGTTTTTTCCCCACTGCAACTTAACTACTTTTCTCAAAAACAGACAAACAAGTCTGCACTGTGGGCCGCAGTGGAAAGAACTCAGGCTTTGGAACACCTATTTACTTCATCAACCTCCCTGACCTTTCTCATCAGCAAAATGGGGATAATCCAAACCACCCCTATAGGGTTGTTTAATTATTAGAGATAATGTGTATTTGGTATCTGACCTGTATGTGCTCAATAGTTGCAACAGTGATTGCTGAGGCAGTATCTGATGACTGAGAACACTGGTTTTGAAGTGAAATTGACTCACTGTTACATTCTGGCTCCTTGGTAGTATTAGCTATGTGAATTTAGACTAGTCACTTTACATCTACAAGTCTGAGAACAGCTCTTTATCTCACAGGGTTAAATGAGATAATATATGAATACTTATGGGCTTCATTATACTCTCCATTTGCTCACTAACTGTGCTATAGTTTGGATCTAGAATGTCCCCTAAAGGCCCATGTCTTAAAAGATGTGGTCCCTGGTTTTGGAAGATGGTGGAAACTTTGAAGTGGGGCTTAGTGGGAGGTCTTCCAATTGTTGGGGATGTGCCTAAGGGGGGACTGTGGAGCTTGGTTTCTTTCTTTCAATTCCCAGCCATGAGGTGAATGGATTTCCCCTACTGCACACCTACCATGACGTACTATGCTGCAACAGGCCCAAAAAACTGGGGTCAATTAGTCATGGCCTGGAAACTCTGAAACTGAGACCAAATAACCTTTCCACTTCTTAAGTTGATCATCTCAGGCAATACAGATTGGCAAAGGGAATACAAATGGTTTTCCTTCTTCCCTCAAAGCAGTACAATTCTGTGATTCTCCCAATCTTTCTTGGATCAGAGCCTATCCTTGCTACTACATCCCATTTTACCTTTTCCCTTTCCCATCCTGCTTCTCTCATTCCCTTCATAGATTTTTATTCTTTTAATACATGAATCACAGACATCCAAATTCCTACTTCAAGTTGTATTTCTAGGTCACCTGACATAAGATACTGTTATGTATAAATGCTCTGTTATTAGGCTATAAGAAAGAATAAAAACACACTGCTCAATGTTAAGTAATAAATTCATAATCCCTTCTTACCTTTCTCAAGTGCTGTTTTGCCACTAAGACTTTTTTATTTTATTTTTTTAATATTTATTTTTTAGTTGTAGTTGGACACAATACATTTATTTATTTTTTTAATGTGGTGCTGAGGATCGAACCAGGGCCTTGCACGTGCTAGGCAAGCACTCTACCGCTGAGCCACAATCCCAGCCCCAACTAAGACTTTTTTTAATATATTTTATTTTAGCTATGGATGGACCTTTATTTTTTTATTCATTTATTTATATGTGGTGCTGAGAATTGAATCCAGTGTCTCACATATGTGAGGCAAGCACTCTACCACTGAGCCACAACCCCAGCCCCACTACCAGTTTTTTTCTAATATTCATTTTTTAGTTATAGTTGGACACAATACCTTTATTTCACTTATTTATTTTTTATGTGGTGCTGAGGATCGAACCCAGGGCCTCATGCGTGCAAGGCAAGCGCTGTACTGCTGAACCACAACCCCAGCCCCCTATCACTTTTTAATAACAGACATTTTCTTTTTTTTTTTTTTTTTTGGTATTAGGGACTTAACCCAGGGGCTCTTAACCACGGAGCCACACACACCTTTTTATATTTTATTTTGAGACAGGGTCTCACTAAGTTGCTTAGGTCCTCACTAAGTTGCTAAAGCTGGCCTTGAACACACAATCCTCCTGCCTTAGCCTCCCAAGCAGCTGAGATTACAGGTATTCACCACCACACCCTGCCATTTTCATCTTTTGTTAATCCTAACATAAACCATTTCATCCTGCATAGTTGGCCACTTTTTCAGAGATACAAATGTATACATTTGTATACAGACTTAGATATTAAGAGAACTCACATTGTTTTCCATTGCCAGGCGGCGAACTGCAGGGGTTGCCAGTGTTTTCTGGCCTTTTATCTCCTGGTGTATGTGTTCATCATGGGACACAGCAGGAGTTTCAACAACATCTTCTTCTGAATCTGGAAACAAGAAAATTTTTTTACAAAGCTTAGTGGCCTCTAATATCTAAAACTCCAAGTCCATAGTCAAAATGCATAATAGTGGTTATAGTTGGGCTACTTTAGAGTGGGAAAACATGCAACTAAATCAATGGTAGGCATAGATTGGGAGGTAGGTACCAATACCTGGTATTATTTAAGTTATAATTACAGGAACTCCAATACTAACTTGGATGATACATATTTGCTGAAATAAGGGAAATGTATAAATATCCAAATGTATCATATAGCAGAGTTATTCTATATTTTTTCAAAACATCTAGTAATTCACTGCTATTCACCTTCCTGGAAAATATTTTGTGATAATATAATACTATAATACTGCCTTTTAGAATAACATGGGTATATATGAGAAGTAACTCATATTATTGTAATAGTCACGTAGTTGTTGGAGTAAAGCTCTAATTAATAAAATAGGGCCTTACTACACAGCACTTCAAATAATTTCCATAGTGTTTTTACACATATTTTATTCTTTGATTATCACAAAAATGCTAAGAAGATTAATCTCAGGGAAGAGATTGAGAGGTTTCTCAATAAACAGGGAAGATTTCTCAATTTTACCAATGTAGAAGAGACTAAGAATGGCATTGAAACTAATCTGAAATAATTTCATCACTTTGTTGGGTTGATGAAATTTTAGTGGTTCTAGCATTGCATTCTAATATTTAAATTTCATCTCTTTTTTTGTACTTGGGATTGATCCTGGGATACTTTACCATTGAATATTACATCCCTATTCCCTTAAAAAATTTTTTTTTAAATTTGAGTCCGGGTCTTGGGATAGAGTCTTGCTTGAAGGTTGCTGTCTTGCTAAATGGTTGAGGCTGGCCTCAAACTTATAATCACCCTGCCTCAGTTTCCCAAGTCACTGGGATTATAGGCATGTGCCATGATGTTCAGTAAATTGGGTTCATTTCTTTATCCTGGGCTGCCTCACATGAAATGATAAAACAAAATAGTAGGAGCAAATATTTCACAAATTACAAAATGATTCTGAAAGAGGTGATGATGATGATGATTATATAGGCTACACTATAACTTGGATATTGCTCCCAAACTTTTGAACTATACTACTAAAATATCTTTATCTTAGCACTTGCTGATGGAATGCTGACTTAGGAATCCCACCACAGAACTTATTACTCCCCAGGCTCTGATATCAAAGTGATTTTCAGCCAGGTATGGTGGTGCACACCTATAATCACAGCTACTTGGAAGACTGAGGCAGGAGGATTGCTTGAGACACAAGTTCTATACCAGCTTGAGCAACAAAGCAAGACCCCATCTCAAAAAAAGGGGGGGAGGCTATTTCATAGATGATATAACTTTTGTTTTGTGACCTTCTGCAGGAAACCATCCGTGAAATACAAGAGGACCTTCTCTTGGCATGAAAGCCTGGAAGGGATAGGCCTGGCATCGGGAACTTCCCATGGCTCTTGGGGGATGACAGATCACCCAATGCATGTGACCTTCCCCTCTGCTCTGCTAGAAAGGTTCCTCATAGTAATGCTGAAGATGGACATAACCTGTTAGGAACTGAACAACCCACCTTCAACCTTTTTTGGAAAAAAACATTCTATAGAATCTCTTTGATGTCTCCAGATATAAATGAAGCAGGCACGGGCTCCATTTTGTCAGAAGGTGGATTGTCTGTCAGCTTGCCCCTCCTGTCCCCACTTTCTGTGTTCTGTGGGTTTTTTGCCGCTCTATTTTCAGCCAGGTGTGGTGGTGCACACCTATAATCACAGCTACTTAAAAGGCTGAGGCAGGAGGATTGCTTGAGACACAAATTCTACACCAGCTTTTCTTTCTCAGCCAGCCCATTCCACCGAGGGGAACCCCATTCCCACCACTGCTTGGGAGGTGGGCGGGAATCTTCTGAGGTAGGGAGTTAAATATCTGCCACCAGTGGGACTACCTATTGTTTCAGTTTTCCACTATAACATTATCTTAATGAATTACCTTTTAGAATAACATTCCCTGCTTATAAGTTCCACAGGTGCTGAGCTCTTTACTTTCACTCTGGTTTTACTTCTTTTTTGTTCTCTCTCTTCTTAAGAAGTCTGGGTTTTAAAAGAATGCTTGTACATATGAGTGCTACTATTGTTTGGGTGTGCTTTGAGTCTCCCCCAAGAGTCAGTGTAATAGGAAGCTGGGTGTCTAGGGTGACAGTATTATGAGATACTGTAGAAACTTTAAGAGGTTTAAGAGGCTGTGGATGAAGCAGCCTAGTAGAGCACCTACTTAGCATTTGTGAAGCCCTAGGTTTAAACCCAAGCACCATACACAAAAAAAGAGGAGGGCACTCCAGTCAGGGGCATGATCTTGGAGGGTAGTTCCTGTGCAACCTTTGAGTTCTCTCTGCTCATGGTTTGAAATATGCTAATTTGCTCCTAGACACACTCTGTTGTGATGGGCTGCCATCTGTGACCCTCACCAGAGGCTAAACCAATGGGGATGCCCAATCTTGGACTTTAACCCTATAAAACTTTAAGTAAACTTCCTTTACTTTAAAAACTGCCCATATCAGGTATTTTGTTATCATAATGAAACACTAATACAAGCTATCCCATTATGTTAATCTTTGTATACTCCAATTTTTGTTCTTAGTGACTAGTGTTTAGGACTTGACTCTTTAATTCTTTTTTTTTTTTTTAATGAGAGAGAGAGAGAGAGAGAATTTTAATATTTATTTTTTAGTTATCAGCTGGAACAACATCTTTGTTTGTATGTGGTGCTGAGAATCGAACCCGGGCTGCACGCATGTCAGGCGAGAGCGCTACCGCTTGAGCCACATCCCCAGCCCCTTTAATTCTTGAGAGTTTTTCTGTTTTTTAAACACTAAGATTTTCAGAAGGCAGGCTTCCTAATAAATGAAATTTTACTATTCATGATATCAAAAGAAAATCATGCATCACCAAGAACCTTTTCTATTTTCTTAATTTTGTCTTTCAAACACCCAACCCAGATCCTGTAAGTTGGTAAAATTATAAGTTGTTCCAATGACAAAAAGACAGCAGTAATCAATTTGGTAAAAGAGATGAACACAGTTACAGTACCTTTTAAAGCTTCTGTTTCTATGTCCACTAATGGCTTCCCCACATAGGCAATATCATCTAGATTATAATAGAGTTTTTTAATGACTCCATCATAACGACTAGTAATAGTAACAGAAGCTTTATCACTTTGAACTTCACAGATGCTATCAAACTGAGAAACTGTATCTCCTTCTTTAACATACCTAAAAGAAAAAGACATGAGATACTTTTACATGGACAATCCTAATTAGAGATCATCCTAACAATTAAATGCCATGCCACGCTGCATCAGTATCCATTTAGCCTAGCAGTTATTCCCAGACAGTGCACCAAGGAATGTTTCAGAGAAGATGATGCTAGCTTCCAGAGTCTCTTGGATATACCTCCAAGAAATATTAAAGTTTCTAATATTTAACCACTTATGGATCAATACCCATAAATCCATAGTATAATTAAACTTCCAGATTTTCTACCTGACCCATTTCTTGGGAAAAAAAAAGTTAAAAAATGTATTTTTAAAGTGAAATTTTCTCTTTACTATGTTATAAGTTAAGCATTCTAATCTTAAAAATCTAAAACCTGAAACATTGTAAGAGTTGACATGTTGCTTAAAAATTTTCAAATTTTGGATCCTTTAGGATTTTGGACTTTCAGACCAAGGGTGTAAAGTCTATACAAGTATTCTAATATATAAAAAACTCAAAAATCTGAATTAATTTTGGTCTCAAGCATTTAGGATAATGGATACTAAACTTATGTTAGTCTTTTTAAAACTTTAAGGAATGCTTATTATTTCTAGAACTAAGTAAACAAATTGTCTTCAATTAGTTTTGTGAAATAACTAATTAGTCAATTAATTATTTTTTAATTTTTAAATTTGTTTTAATTAGTTATACATGACAGTAGAATGCATTTATGCACTTTGATATATCATACATAGATGGGATATAATTTCTTATTTTTCTGAGTGTACATGTTGTAGAATCACATTGGTCATGCAGTCACATATATACATAAAGTAATAATGTCTGTTTCGTTCTCCTATCCTTTGTATCTTCACATCCCCTCCCTCCCCTCCCTTCACTTCCCTCTACCTAATCTATGGTAACACTATTCTTTTCTAGTGCCCCACCCCCCTTATTGTGAATTAGCATCTGCATATTACAGAAAACATTCAGTCTTTGGTTTTGAGGGGGATTGGCTTATTTCGCTTAGCATGATACTCTCAAATTCCATCCATTTACTGGCAAATGCCATAACTTCATTCTTCTTTAAAGCTGAATAATATTTGCTGCACCCCTCCCCTGACTCAGGCAATGGCAAGGCCCTACTGAGGTGGATGGCGCAAGGCGTCCATCCTCTGGAGGAGCGCAGTATGTTTCTGGGAATGGGCTGGTTTGTTTTTGTATTCCTTTAATAAGTATAGTTGCGATTTCTCATATGACCATTAAGTATGAAGGAAAAAACATGTGAGCCTGCCAAAATGAAAAGTATATATGGTCAACTTCACAAGTAAAGATTGGGATTCGGCACCTTCACTTTGGTGTCTGTTGCTTCTCCACCCCCCTTTCGCCGACTCCTCACCATCCGTTCGTCTCCTGAGACCCCCTGTTGGAGCTGGACTCCGACAAATATTCTATTGAAATATATATATCACATTTTCTTTATCCATTCATCTATTGAAGGACACCTAGGTTGGTTCCATATTTTAGCTATTGTGAATTGAGCTGCTATAAACATAGACATAGCTGCATTACTGTAGTATGCTGATTGTAAGTCCTTTAGGTAAAAACCCAGGAGTGGGATAGCTAGGTCAAATGGCAATTAATTAATTTTTGAGACAGGAGGCTCACTATGGCTGGGCACAGTGTCGCACGCCTGTAATCCCAGCGGCTCAGGAAGCTGAGGCAGGAGGATGGCAAGTTCAAAGCCAGCCTCAGCAAAAGCTAGGAGCTAAGCAATTCAGTAAGCCCCTGTCTTCAAATAAAATATAAACTAGGCTGGGGATGTGGCTCAGTGGTTGACTGACACTGAGTTCAATTCCAGGTATCCACGCCAGAAAAAAAATGTCTTACTATGTTGCCCATGCTGGGCTACAACACATGATTCTCTAGCTCAACCATGCCTGGCTTAGTTTTTGCATTTCAGGTATGACTTTTCTCAGTTTTCCTTTCTACAACTATTTTAGCTTGTCCTTGTATACCAGTCTATTTTTCATTTTTCATATGCTTTACAATGTTCATTACATGTTCTTAGCAAGCAGAACGAGGAGAATGGGTCCAAGCCTGAAATGCTACATGTAAATTCTAATACTACTCTTGATGCGTCTGGCTTATTTCTGGCTACCATCAATTCTTCAAAATAATAATTAATCCATTCTTAATGCCTGCCTTTGTGTCTTAATCAGTTTTCAGTCCTTTGCTAAAACATCAATCATGACATAAACACTTAATTTTAAAAGCATATATAGGGGCTGGGGTTGTAGCTCAGTGGTAAAGCACTTGCCTCATATGTGTGAGGCCTTAGGTTCAATCCTCAGCACCACATAAAAATAAACAAATAAAAATAAAAAGATATTGTGTTCATAAACAATTAACTATTATTATTTTCTTATTAAATAAATAAATAAACTGGAAAAAAAGCACATACAGATAATTTTTATTTCCAGAATGTCAGAGTAACAACCTCCAAAAATCTGTTCCGCCAAGTAAACAACAAGTACACTGACAAAAATCTTTCATCTTTAAAAATTAACTTTTTAAAATTTTGGTAATTAAAAAAAAAAAAAAAAAAGCTGGGTTGGGGATGTGGCTCAAGCGGTAGTGCGCTCGCCTGGCATGCGTGCGGCCGAGGTTCGATCCTCAGCACCACATAAAAACAAAGATGTTGTGTCTGCCGAAAACTAAAAAATAAATATTAAAAAAAAAAAAGCTTACAAAAGCTGAGAGATACTTATTTAAGAAAAATGACTGATTCTCATTAAAAATAGTGAGTTCTATGGCATTCGAACTTGCCCTATTCTTATCCTCATTTCCCTATATCATTGGTAGCCTTAAATATCAGCAACTTCACAGACGAGGTTTGGAACTCCATAAAAAATCATACCTCCAAAAAACTGTCACTATTTGACTTGTCTGGCAGCTAACTGAAAATGTTGCACTCACACAATTCAAGAGTTCCCTTTGCTGGGAAAAAAAGTCTAACCTCAGAGTGTTTGCTGAAAACCATCAGCAAAGGTTGTTTAAAATCTCAGTTGGTTAAAGGAATGATAGAAACTGGGACCAAAGATTGGCCAGAGATCTCACAAGGAAGTCGACCTGGGGAATGAGATGTCCATAGGAGGCTTTGTAAAGCTCTGACATATTCAAAGGGATCTGGAGCCATGAAATGTGTAGGGCAGTGTTCATGATTAACAGAACAGAGAGAACACCTCAGGTTGACCCTGAGGCCCTGTGCAAGCAAGAAATAAAGGCTAAGAAAATGTTGTAAAGTGCTAGAGGACTGAAGGCAAGTACAACCTGCATAAAGAACTCCTTGGCAAAGGGATGAAGACTTACTGCTTCTAGATACTTAAGCAAGTCACTTTCTAATGATCCACCAAGTTAACTGAGTACAGATTTCAGTGGCCACACATGAAAGGGAATACAGACTTTATAAAATCAGTCTAGGAAAGTCACTAAGCAGAGAGCAGTCTCCCAGCCCTGCCCCATCCCACCAAAGCAAAAGTCTGGGGAGGTGGGATCTGATTTCTAGATATGCCACAATACTGTATCTAAAATATCCAGTTTTCAATCAAAAAATTATAAGACATGCAAAGAAACAAAAAAGTATGGCCCTATACACAGGAAAACAAAAAATGTGGTCAATAGAAACCATCCTTGAGGAAGCACAAATGTTGGACTTACAAGGCAAGACTTTAAATCATCAATTAAAAGTTAAATCAATCATTAAAGAAATATTCAAAGAACTAAAAGAAATCATGTCTAAAAAATTAGAGGGAAGGATGAGAAAATGATTTCTCACCAAGTAGAGAATATCAATAATGTGATAGAAATATATACATGAAAAAACACACCAAATTCTGGAGTTGAAGATTACAATGAATAAAATGAAACTTCACCAGTAGGGCTCAACAATAGATTCTTGTCAGCAGAAGAAAAAACTGGCTAATTTGAAGAAAGGTCAAATGAAAATTTCCATCTGAGGAATGAAAAGAAAAAAGAAGGAAGAAAAATGAACAGAACCTTAGAGACTTATGAGACACAATCATCAAGTATGTTAACATATACATTGGCATTTCAGGAGAAAAGAGACAAAGGGGCAAAATAAACATTTATAGAAATAGCAGCCAAAAATATCCCAGATTTGAAGAAAAACATTAATGTACACATGTAAAAAGCTTAACAAACTCCAAGAAGAATAAGTTCAAGGACAGCTACACCTAGATACATCATAATCAAACTACTAAAACAGAGTATGTTGAAAACAACATAAGAAAAACCACATACATGTATAAGAAATTATCCAATTCAAGAAAGCTCTTAATATTTCTTTAAGAATTTCTTAAAAACAAATCAAATGATTTCTCATTTAAAGAACTATTACATTTTCATTAGGAATTAAATGACTTCCTGTTCCAAGAGCCTTGTACCCTATACTAAACATATGAATCTAAAGAAATAATAAGAGACAGAAATTTAGAAATTAAAAAAAAATTTAAAAAATCTAGAAAGAGTAGTCCTGGTTCTGAAAATAAAGTATCAAAATGTAAATGGAGAGGGGCCTTTTCAAGATGGTGGAATAGAGGAAGTTGCTTTCCTGGCTGCTCCATGGAGTGAAACCAAGAAAGCACAGAGGCAGCTTTCTTAGCAAGGTAGGTGAACAAAAAAAGTGGGGGGACTTTACTGGAATTTAAAATTGGAGATTCAAAGCAGAATGAGGACTCAGGAGGTTGGATATGATAAGATAGGGAAGAAATCCCCAGTGGCACAGCCACTGCCACAGCCTGGCTAGAAGCACGAGCCAGAGAGGTCCTCCGTGAGCATGTTGTAAGACAGACGAGGCTGGGGCTGGACAGAGGCTGGATACGGAAGAATCAGCAGAAGCAGGTTGATTGGCTGCAGCCAGGTTCAGAGGGGAAAACTTTCGCTACAATTAATCAATCCCCCTGAATGCGGAGTTCAGAAAGTTTTAGAACTTTATACCCAGTGTGTAGCAGGAGGGGCTAAGAGGTTCACAATCTACAGTAGTCCATAAAACAGTGGTTTTTTTTCTACTCTTCTCGGCTCTCAACTCAGGCCAGGTTTTACAAAAATAACCCCCAAAGATGCTCTCTGTAAAAATCAGTGCTTGGGAAAGAGTTTTTCAAGGACCTAACTTTGAAATGCAAACACCTCTGAGAAAGCCTTGGGTTAAACTTTCTTGTCACACTCTTGCCTATAGGAATTCAGACTACAGGATTACCTCTCTCTCTCTCTGGCAATTCAGAGGGTGGAGAATCAGGCTCCAGATGACCCCACTGAAAACTGCTGAAGAGAGAAACTGAGAATATTTTGAACTTCAACGGAAAGAATTCTTTGACTTTTTATCATGATCTTTTTCTCTGTTTAATTGTGACCTTAATGGTACATGGATTCTTATATGTATTCATATTTGTCTTTATTCTCATTTCTAGCATTTTTGAAGCCAGTTATTTTTCATGGATTAGTTTTTTTGTGAACTAGGATGTTTGATTAGTATTTTAGTTTTGTATTATTTTACTTTTATTTTTAATTTTTAAAAAATTTTTACTTTTATATATATATAATTCTTTCTCCTACCTGTTCCCCTTGATTCTCTTTTTTTCTGTTAACAGTCAATCTCTATTGTTTTCTCTTTGTCTTTTAATTTTTTTACTTCTTGTCTTCTCCTCCCTCAGAATCATCACATTCTATATCACTTCTGTTCTCTCCCTAGCCACCATTTGAAATTATAAACCCTTTTGCAAACTTGCTATTTTCATTGTTGGCAATAACTGATCATATCAGTTCTAAACAGAAATCACAATAAATATTGTGATAATTAACATTGTAGACATCACAGTAGGAACTATTTGGTTTAATACTGTATATTGCTTGCATTGGTTGTTGTTATTATTTGTCTCCCCCTAAACAGTGAGGTACTGAAAACCTTCAGGGACACAATAAGTACATAGGGTAGAAACTACTGACTCAGATTCATTCTGTTAGATGGGTAGACACACAAACAACATGAAAAAGCAAGGGGACAGATTGCCCCAAACAAATCAAGATACTCCAATACAAAATCCACTGACACCACTGTGTGGAAGAAATGTCAGAGAAGGAGTTTAGAATGTACATAGTTAAACTGATCTGTGAAGTAAAGGACAGTTTAAGAAATGAAATCAGAGAGAAAACATAGGAAGTGAAAGATCACTTCAACAAAGAGGCATATTCTGGGGGTGGGGAGTGGGGAACAAGCAGAAATCCTTGAAATGAAGTAAACAATAAACCAAATTAAAAATTAAATAGAGCCAGGCATGGTGGCACACACCTGTAATCCCAGCAGCCTGGGAGGCTGAGCCAGGAGAATCAAGTTCAAATACAGCCTCAGCAAAGGAGAGGCACTAAGCAACTCAGTGAGACCTTGTCTCTAAATAAAATACAAAATAGGGTTGGGGATGTAGTTCAGTGGTTGATTTTCCCTGAGTTCAATCTCTGGTACCAAAAAAAAAAAAAAAAAAAAATTCAATAGAAAGAATCACCAACAGACTAGATCACTTGGAAGATATAACCTCAGGCAATGAAGACAAAATACATAATTTTGAAAATAGAGTTGATCATGGAGAGAAGATGTTAAGAAACCATAAACAGAACTTCCAAGAACTATGGGATAACATGAAAAGATCAAATTCAATACTTATTGGGATAGATGAAGGTTTAGAGATACAAACCAAAGGAATGCACAATCTTCAATGAAATAATATCAGAAAATTTTCCAAACTTAAAAAAATGAAATGGAAAAATAAATATAAGAGGCTTACAGGACCACAAATGTACAAAATTACAACAGACCCATACCAAGGCACATTATAATGGAAATGCCTTACATACAAAATAAGGACAGAATTTTAAAGGCTCCAAGAGAAATATATCAGATTACATATAGAGGGAAAACAGTTCAGACCTCAGCTACTTTCTCAACCTAGACCCTCAATGCTAGGAGGTCCTGGAATAACATTACCAAGCTCTGAAAGAAAATAGATGCCAACCAAGAATCCAATACTCAGAAAAGTTAAGCTTTACATTTGAAGATAAAATAGAAACCTTCCCCTGTAATCCCAGCAGCTTGGGAAGCTGAGGCGGGAGGGTTGCAAGATCAAAGCCAGCCTCAGCAAAAGTAGGCACTAAGCAGCTCAGTGAGACCCTGTCTCTAAGTCAAATACATAATAGGGCTGAGGATGTGGCTCAGTGGTTGAGTGCCCCTGAGTTCAATTCCTGGTACCCACCTCCCAAACCTTCCTGTATATAATCCTTTGCAGATTTGAAAGGATATAATTTTAACCATTGCATGCTTTGTTCCTTTCAATGACTGCTATGAGTAGGCACAGCCAGTACTGTTACTCTCATTTTATGGTCAGACAGGGACTCAGAACAAGTGAGTCACAGGTAAGAAGCTAAGGGGTTTCAAAGTCAGGCTTTTTTCATTTCGAGTTTGTTGCTCATCTCACAATCTCATGATACCACTAAAGACATAACAATAAGAATTGTTTCTATTATTATAATTCTGTTCTAAGTCACAAAGCAACAATGCTAAGAAGTATAGGAAAAGAAGTTCAGGTGGCTGAATCAGATCCTTAAAAAGTTTCTTTAACAGTGTAAAACTATGGTGTGGGAAAAAATCTATTTACTCATCCTGCTATTTCTAAAAACCTTTAAAAGATTTAGTTCAGTACCCAGAGGTGGTATGATTTTTTTTGAGTTTTTGTTTTGTTTTGTTTTGTTTTGGTGCTAGGCCTTATGCATGCTAAGCACATGTTCTATCACTGAGCTACCCCCACCTGCCTACCACCCTACTCCTAACATTCCTGGTTGTAACTTTTCCAGAGGGTCAAAAAAGAAAAAGAATAGAGGGTGATTAAGATAGTCAACAATTTTTTACTATTTTGTTTGTTTTTTTAGTTGTTGATGGATCTTTATTTTTTATTTATTTATATGCCATGCTGCAAATCAAACCTGGTGCCTCATATGCTAGGCAAGCACTCTACCATTGAGCCACAACGCCAGCCCCCAGTTTTTTTTTTTTTTTTTTTACCCTTTTTTAAAGGGATTTTTCTTTAAATAAGACTTTTAGCAAAATATTTTAATCTTTTCTAAACATATAGAGAAATTGTGTTAGGTAATGTTGAGTATTCATACTACAGTCATTTTCAGAATGGTTAAGAAAACTTCAACTACAAGATGATGTTTTAAAAGAGTTTAGATGGAAATTATAAGTTCATACATATAAATACTTTTATTTATTCACTTAACTTGGGTGTACTGCAGATTGAAACTAGGAGTACTCTACCACTGAGCTGTATCTCCAAACCTTTTCATTTTTTATTTTGAGACAGGTTTTCACTAAGTTGCACAGGCTACCTTGAACTTGTGATCCTCCTGCCTCAGCCTCCCAGGTAGCTGGAATTACAAGTATTTGTCACCATGCTTGGCCACATTAAATGCTTTTAAAAACATATGGGGGGCTGAGGTTGTAGCTCAGTGGCAGAGTGCTTGCCTTGCCCATGTGAGGCACTGGGTTCGATCCTTAGCACCACATAAAAATAAAATAAACAAAATAAAAATATTATGTCCATCTATAGCTAAAAAAAAATTTAAAAACAAACAAACAAATATATGGTCCTGGGCTGGGGTTGTAGCTCAGTGGTAGAACCCTTGCCTAGAACATGTGAGACACTGGGTTCGATCCTCATCATCACATTAAGATAAATAAACAAAATAAAGATATTGTGTCCATGTATAACTAAAAAACAAATAAACCTACAGTCCTAGACTGGGGATGTAGCTCAGTGGTAGAGTGCTTCCTACAATGAGGGAGTCCCTGGATTCAATCTCCAGCATTGCCAAAAAAAAAAAAAAAAAAATCCAAAAGAAGACCATGTGGTCTTATATTAATTTAGAAGTTAATTCCTCTTAGTTGGGCACAGTGGCACACACCTATAATCCTAGTGGCTCAGGAGGCTGAGGCAAGAGGATTGCAAGTTCAAATCCAGTCTTAGTAATTTATCGAGCCCCTAAGCAACTTAGCAAGATAGTAATCTCCTTATTCAAAAGAAAAAAAAAAGAAAGAAAGAAAAAGTCTGGAGATGTGCCAAAGTGCCCAGTGCCCTCCCTCAAAAAGGTAAATTCCTCTTTCTTAACTACAGTAAGAGAAGGACAGCGAAAGGAGTTTTTAAAAGGCAGGGAATACCTTCCACACACACATACAAAATGAAGGAATAATTGCTCGGTGTGGTGGTGCACACCTGTAATCCCAGCAACTCAGTAGTCTGAGATAGGAAACTAACTGCCAATTCAAAGCCAGCCTCATCAACTTGGTGAGACCCTGTCTCAAAACACAAAATAAAAAGGCCTGGGGACGTTGCTCAGTGGTTAAGTGCCCCTCTTCCAATCCCTGGAAACTCCCCACCCTGCCCCAAAGAGGAAATAATCATTAATTAATCACAACAAATAAAATGTCTTGATGTATGATAAATTCTGTCACCAGTATATTGTCAACACAAAGTAACTCTACTTTATTAATTTTTTAAAAAAATTTTCCTAGTTATACATGAACATAGTATCTTTATTCTGTTTATTCATTTTTATGTGGTGCTGAGGATTGAACCCAGTGCCTCACATGTGCAAGGCAAGCACTTTGTCACTGAGTCACAATCCCAGCCCATCTACCTTATTAATTTTTTAAAAAGGCATTATAGGTCATATAAAGAAGTTTCTCAGTTTAAACTGATTCCTACTTATTTGTACTCAAATGAGTTTTACCATTTACTTAGATGTTCTTTCAGATTAACTTACCATTCTTTAACAGTTACTTCTCTAATCCCTTCTCCAATGTCTGAAAGTTTGAACTGAACAACTTGTCCATGTAGAGCTTTAAAGAAAAAAGAAATATTCTCATTAAATGTGTACTTATTACCCATAAATGCTTTTACATCTAAAATTAGAAAATATCCTCAGAGGCAGAAACTATTCCATCTTACAGACAGAAAAACATCATTTTATAATTTTTAAAAGCATGAATCATTATTCACAATCATTAAGATTAATCTAAGCTACCCATAACACAGAATCCTGACGCTGCCACAGAACCCAAATTTTTCCAAATTTCAAAATAATGTTCTTTTACAGGGCTATAGTAAGTCCTACTAATAAATCAGTGAGTTTTTAAAAATTTGTTTTGTTTTGTTTTGTAATAGGGAATAAAATCAGGAGTGTTTAACCACTATATTCCCAATCTTTTTTATTTAAGACAGGATCTTGCTAAGTTATTTAGGACTTCACTAATTTGCTGAGGCTGGCTATGAAATTGCAATCCTCCTACCTCAGCCTATAATCATTGACATTACAGACATGCACTACCAGGCCTAGCCAAATTAGTAAGATTATGAAACAATAGTAATGAATAGACAATGGAACAGATACAAAGAGAGACTCAGCTGTATCTCCTTGTTTTATGTTATGCAGCTACAATAACCACTAGTGGCCTACTCTCAGATCTCTTTTGACTTCATGTAATTATGCTCAGTCTTTATGGCTAAAAATCAGGCACTTCATGGAAAATTCTTACATTTTCAAATCCTGCTGCACCACCTTATTCCCTAAGACTTCTCTTTCCTCTTGTCATTTTCTATCCCCTTCTTAATACCCACTCCTGCCCTGCCCCCCACACACCTTTTTTAACACTGTGGATTGAATCCAAGGACACTTAACCACTGAGCCACACCCCCAGCCCTTTTTTTATTTTGAGACAGAGTTTTATTACTTGCTTAGTGCCTCACTAAGTTGCTGAGGCTGCTTTGAACTTGCAATCCTCATATCTCAGCCTCCTGGGCTGCTGGGATTATAGGTGTGTACTACCATGCCTGGCATTAAAATACACTTTTGATGTGGAGGTATCTCTTGTTTCCTTTCTAATTTAGGGCCCTCTCACAGTCTGCTGCTTCTTTTAAAAAGGTACAGGCATTAAGTATCAAAAACTTTAAAAATAAATCCACATCTTTCAATTATCAATAAATAATTCCATATTTAGGACTTTTTCCCCCAAGAAACTAATTAGAAAGGTATACAAAGATTTGAACAGGGGCTGGGGATGTGGCTCAAGCAGTAGCGCGCTCGCCTGGCAAGCGTGCGACCCGGGTTCGATCCTCAGCACCACATACAAACAAAGATGTTGTGTCTGCCAAAAACTAAAAAATAAATATTAAAAATTCTCTCTCTCTCTCTTTAAAAAAAAAATATTTGAACAGAAGAATAGTTACTATAGAGTTAAAATGAAGAACTGGAAGTCAGTCTTTCAAAAAAATGAAGAGTAAATACACTATGGCACTTCTTATAAAGCAATATATATATAAGGAACAGCAAGAGCATAGAAATATGATACTGCATGGCATGGTTAGGAAATAACAAACAGTCCTATATAGCTAAAGATGGAGTACGTGGCAAGAAATTAGCCCAGACACAGAAACGCTTTATGTGCCCTGCTAAGGGGTTGTAATAAAACTTTATCTTAAAGGTCATTAGGAGTCAGTAGTAATTCATACAGTCATAACTTCTTTGTAATTGCTCATGTTAAGAGGTAGAGTCTTTTTTGCCACTTCTTAAATCTATGTTGGCCTCTGACTTATTTTGACTAATGTAGTGTAGCAGAAATGAAATCATGCAATTTCAGGAGACTAGATCTCATGGGTCCTCACAGTTTCTGCCTTCTCCCTTTTGGAATTATGTCCTAAGGTCCCTGTGTAAGGAAGCTGATGTAGATCATTGGAGACTTTGTGGAGGAGAAATGAGGTGCCCAATAGCCAGGCACATGAGTGTGACCCTCCTGGATCTCCCCCCTAGGACTGCTGATCCTCTAGATAAATACAGTCACATTAGTGAAACCAGCAGAGGAACCAACTCAAAGAATCCTGAGGAATAATCAATCACTGTTGCTCTAAGCCACTAAGTTGCAGGGTGGTTTGTTATTCAATAATAATTAACTGATATAGAGTCCCATTTATAATATCAGACATGTGACTTTATGTCTATAATTTTAGACCAAACACCTCTGGCAAGAGCACGGTGGGTAGGGTTGGGAGAAAATAGCAGAGGCAAAATAAGGCAGAGAAAGCAGGAGCTTATATATTTTTCAAAGCTGTCTAAAACGGAATCATTTAAGAAACAGGAAAGATGTCAAATTGGTAAGTTTGATGGGCATGGTGGCACATGCCTGTAATTCCAGAAACCCGGAGGCTGATGCAGGAGGACTGCAAGTTTGAGGCCAGCCTCAGCAAATCAGCAAGATTCTGTCTCAAAAAATAAAAAGGGCTGGGGCAGTGGCTCAGTGGTAGAGTGTTCGTCTAGCATGTTCGAGGCCCTTGGTTCGATCCTCAGCACCACATAAAAACAATGAATAAATAAAAATAAAGATATTTGTCCAACTACAACCATATATATATATATATTATATATATATATGTATGTATATATGTATGTATATATACACACACACACACACAAAAAAAGGGGGGGCTGGAGATGTAGTTCAGTGGTAGAGCATGCCTGGATACAGTCAAGTACCAGAAAAGTCAAAATAAAATTGGTATGCTTGGGTGAGATTTGATGCAAAACAAGGAGTCGGGGTGATTCTAGGTTTCCAACTTAACTACTTATTGAGTTAGGAATGCAGGAATAATAAGAAATTTGTAGAAGACTGAATTTGGGGAATTTGAGTTATATATGGGATCCTGGAATGGAGATCTTCAGCCAGCAAATTGGTGATATGTCTGAGCTACAGATACAGATTCTAAAATGTTCAATGAGTACAGGTGAGAGTTAAAGGCATGAGCATAGATGGGGTGTAAGAAGGATGGGTTTCCGTGAAAAACTGAAATTTAAGAGTGAAGCAGAGGAAGAGGACCTGTAAAAGAGAATATGCAGCTGGGTGTGGTGGCACACACCTGTATCCTTGGCCACTTGAGAAGTCAAAGCAGAAGCGTAAGTTGAGACCAAGAGTTTGAGATCAGCTACTCAATATAACAAGACCCATCTCAAAAGGAAAAAAGAGAGAGAATGAGTATCAAGAGAAATAGGTACCAAATTCTTTACATTTTTAAATGTATTTAATCCATCCAAGTATAAGAATCTTTGTTTAGTTTACTGATATGTCCACCTAGAGCAGCCTTGGCACACAGCAGGTGATTAGCAATACCTGTTGTTGAATAAATGAATTCCCACAACAATACTATGAATTAAATACTTGGATCACTCCCATTTTCCAGATGATGACATTGAGAAAAATTACATAACTTGTTATAAGTTACACAGTTAGTATAAATGATAAATCAGGAGACATAGCCTGGAATTGGTGGATTGAGGAATGCAAAGCTCAAGATAAGTGTTTAGAGGCTGGAGTAGGAAGCTGGAGTTTCTGCTTGAATGACCTCTGCTTTGTCTGGAAGTAATGAAAAAAGATCAACTTAAAACAACAGAAATCTTGGCTGGGTGAGTAGCTCATTAGTAGAGTGTTTGCCTAGTATGTGTGAGTTTCTGGGTTCAACCTCTAGCACTGTTAAAAAAAATATATGTATACATATTTTAACAAAAAAAGTGGTGGAGGTAAGGTTTACATGCTTTGTATGTCTTACATGTCTTATATGTCATGGTGTAAGATGACATATAAAAAGCATGGAAGAGTGGGGTCTGCCTGGAATTCTCCTATTTTTAAATTTTTTTAGTTGTCAGTGGATCTTTATTTATTTACATGCGGTGCTGAGACTCGAATCCTGTGCTTCACACATGTCAGGCAAGTGCTCTACCACTGAGCTCTGACCCCAGTCTGAATTCCCCTATTTTTCACTACACTAAGGCTCAATTTATCTATCAAAAGTTTAATTATATAATAAAAAGTCAGGGGTTCTTTGTCAGGGTTATCAATAGAACATCAAAAAAGTTCTTGTGCCCTTGCAAAATCTAATATTTAAGTCCTCAATGTCTTTACAGAAGGTAGAAAAAGTTGGGGAAAAGGAATGTAAATGCCAAAAGCTAGGGAACTTTCTACTTAGGAGTATGTCATGCAGATTTCACCACACCATCACATAACATAGCACAACAGATTAAGTATTTGTCCAAAAAACAATATTACAGTGTGTATAAAAGACACAGGGGCTGGGGATATAGCTCAGTTGATAGAGTGCTTGCCTCGCATGCACAAGGACCTGGGTTCAATTCCCGAGACACACACACACACACTCACAGATATTAAGATGCCTCTATTAGAAGATAGCTTGATTGAGAAGATCAATCAATGTCAGTGCTAACTACTGCACTTAGATGAGTCAGAAGATGATAAAGCCTCAATAGTCCCAACCAACCAATTCCCAAATTAGGAAGACACAGTGAAAAACCAGCCTCTATCTCAGAGCAAAGCCTGTCCAAGGAAGGGACATACCTTAGTCCTTGGAAAGACCCACAGAGCACTCCTAAGCACATTCCCACCCTGCTGAGTTGTTTATCTACAAATAACAGGAGAGATCTGCTGCTCCAGGTGTCCCTGACTCAGTCAGGCTAGGTGGGGATCCATAGCAGCCCCCTAGCAGCCACCAATCAGCATGAGACAGGGAAATACCTGGGATGCCAGTGGTTTATGGTGGTTGATAACAAGTTGGGAAACCATGTAGTTCAGCACGTACACCCCTCTTGGCTCAAACTAATCAGTTCAAATGAATACCCCTTTTGTACTGACCAATCACCCCTACCCAACTTGTTCCCGCCAGTGAATGTGCTAATCATGTTTTAGAGTTGTTATTTGATTTTCCCGCGGTGTGTGATGATTTGCTAAGGGATGCTATGATGTATGTGAAGTCCCTGCCCTCTCCAAAGAATGTATAAAACTGCTGCAAACCCTGGGCTCGGGGCCTCTCAGCATCACCAGTTGCTGTGTGTGCATGCGGAGGACCGAGCTAGCTCGCAATAAACACCTCTTTGCTGCTTGCATCGATCTTGGATCTCTGGTGGTCTTTGGGGGTCCCGAATTCGAGCATAACAACAGCGCATAAAGGAAAGAATGGGGGTGAGGAGAGAAAAAAGAAAATGAAAAGATGTGGGGACAGCCAAGCTAGAAATATGGTCTTAATTCTTTTTTACTATGGTAACTCTTCAATTACTAAAAAAAAGAAAAGTTAAAAGAAAAAAATACTGGTGAGGTATTTAGCATTATTTTGTATATTAGCTACATTGAGATCATACTTACCAGCAGTTGTTTTCAGCAACTGATGTGGATGACTATACTTGAATGAAGGATAACCGAAGAAACACACACATTTTGGCTTCAAAATATGAACATTACTACATGTTTGAAAATAGCGAACACAAATCTACAAATGAGAAAACAACAAAAAGTGTTTATTAATTATCTTAATGCCTTATCTCTTAAAGTATATACTGAATTTCAATTCTATTTAAAAAAGCAGAACCATCATTATGATTTACATCTAGACAGAAACCAGAAAATTAGCAACAGGGACAATAAAGTTTATGAAAAGTGGTTACTTTCTTTCTTTTATTTTTGGTACTGGGGATTAAATTTAGGGGCACTACTTAACCACTAAGCCATATTCCCCAGCTCTTTTTTGTATTTTATTTAGAGACAGGGTCTCACTGAGTTGCCCTCTCGCTAAATTTCTGAAGCTGGCTTTGAACTCTCGATCCTTCTGCCTCAGCCTTCTAAGCTATTGAGATTACAGCCAAGTACCACCATGCCTGGCAAGAGTGCTTACTTTCTTAAGTACTTTTGTCCAAGAAATCAAAAGAACTCAAAACTCTAGTATAAAGAGAGCATTTTGTTATCCTTTTGTTTAGTAATATTATATCCTCAGAATTAGATTTGTTCATATATTTCTGATTTTCCCCAAATTCCTTAAAGAAATGTTAACAATATATTCTAAAAAAAAAAAAACAAAAAAACCCCTAATATATTCTATATAAACATATCAGAGGGAAAAGGAGGGAGAAGTGGAGTTGCACGGAAGATGGAAGGAGACCCTCATCGTTATACAGAATACGTGTATGATGTTGTGAGGAGAAAAAGAAAAAAAAAAGTGTGTCACATTAGATTGGACAGAGAGAAGTGATGGGAGGGGAGTAGAGTGGAAGGGGGGATACGAAGGGCAGCAGAATAGAATAGACATTATGATTGCTGTATGTATATAGGTGACTCTATGACCAATGTGATTCTGCAATCTGTACAATCAGAAAAATGAGAAATTATACCCCGATTCAAATGTATGAATTGCCAAGAGCATTGTAATGTCATGTGTAGCTAATTAAAAAAAGAAAAAAAAAAAAAAAAGAAAAAAGAAACACATCAGCTTGTAGGCATGCTTAAGTTATCATGTAAGCAAGGGCAGCCTGAGAAAGCAGGATGCAGACTGTCTCCCATTTTGTTCCTGAGCCCTAATATAAAGTTGTGTTTCTAATAAATCTCCTTAAAGTTTCTTCTCCCAGAAATAATATTCTACAACCCACCCTACCTAAGGAACCAGTACTGTGACCAAGAGGCAAACTTTACTTCATTATGATACCAAAATCTCCACTCAGAAAAAAGCTGAAGTCCTATTTCCATGGGAAATATGAAAAGGCATATTGCCAAGCATGGTGGCTGCTGAGTTTTAACCTATAGATTTTAATTATTTTAGTTAGGCTTTATCTTTCCTTAACATTAACAGAAAAAAATGTAGATATAATAAAGATTGGTGGATTTTGGATGAGCTTTTTAAAGTAGAGATGCATGATTTAAAATTATACTTGTTTTAGGAATGATTTAAAATTATACTTGTTTTTCTTTGCTTTCAGAAATCAGTAACAACTTGGAAATCAAAGTAAAAAATCGTTTATGAATTTAAATGAATTTTTTCTTTAATTAAACCTAATTTTTTATTTTATAGTATTTTTCATAAAAATAAATAAGATTCTTAATTATAAATATGAAAGCATCATCAATATATAATGTTTACTTTAACATAACTTTAAATTTGTGTGTGTGTATGTTAGCACGGATTTAACCCAGGGGTGCTCAACCACTGGGCTACATCCACAGCCTTTTTATTTCTTATTTTGAGATAGGGTCTCACTAAGTTGCTTGGGGCCTTGCTAAGTTGCTGAGGTTGGTCTTGAGCTTTCGATCCTCCTGCCTCAGCTTCCCAAGTTGCTGGAATTACCTCCCCGCCCCCATAAAGGCATGTATGCTCTCTCTCTCTTTTTTTTTTTTTTTTTTTTTGGTACTGGGGAATGAACTCAAGGACAGTTTATCAACCACTACTTCACCAATCCTTTCTATTTTTATTTTGAGTCTGGGTTTCATTAAGTTGATGAGGCTGGCCTTGAATCTGTCTTAAGTTTTTATAATAAGAAGTTATAGGGGCTGGGGATGTGGCTCAAGCGGTAGCGCGCTCGCCTGGCATGTGTGCGTCCCGGGTTCGATCCTCAGCACCACATACAAACAAAGATGTTGTGTCTGCCGAAAACTAAAAAATAAATATTAAAAAATTCTCTCTCTCTCTTAAAAAAAAAATAAGTTATAGGCAATCAAGTGTTGTTTATTTATAAATATGTAGATTTTTTTTTCCTTTCCAGATTAGTTAATGTGGGAAGGCTTCTTGAAGGAAGATTTAAGTTGAGCGTGGCATAATAAGTATAGATAATAAAACAGCAGAAAGGCAATTTTATGGCAGAGGCAACAGCATAAACAGCAGCAATTTGCCTAGCATGTCTGCTGGGGCAGCGAGTAGCTTGATCAAATTCATAAAAAGAAAGCAGAGGATAGCTCAAGGACCAAAATGTTGGTTACTGTAAATGTCGGGATAAAAGTTTGAACTTATGTATCATGGGCTACTCAAGAAAAAGGATTAGGAAATTAATGTAGGAATAGTTTATTAAATAGCTCACAACAGGTAAAGCCTGGAGAGAATGGTTCAAGAAACTATCATAGTATCTGAGACATGAAACAAGACTCCTGACTGAAGTGATTAATAATGGGGGAAAAACATGCAATAGAAGTGCACAGACATTATGTGATTAATAGCTACTAAATGAATATGAAAAGAAGTCTAAGGCTAGGGTTGTAGTTCCGAGGTAGAGCATGCAAAAGACCCTGGGTTCCATCCCTAGCACCATAAAAATACCAAAAATATTTGTGAAGTTGCTGGATAGATGGACTAAAAGGCACAGAAAAGAGGGAAAAAAATATTTTTCAAGCTAGAGAAGACATTTCCCTCCACTAGAATAGACGAGTACATTAAGCATAAGGCTTTAAATGTCCAATTTAGAAAGGCATGCCTTGAAAGTCAATGAACAACTGAGATTCAAGAAATTTGGAGGGAGGTGACAACTAGGTGCAACATGTTATCCCGAACCAGATTTGTTTAAATTTAATATAAAGCTCATAACGCACACAATAGGCAAAGTTGAGGCTAGCAGTGCTACATCAACATCAATTTCTTGATGATTATGCTGAGGTGACATTGGAAATGTACATTAAATCATTTCAAAGCAAAAGAGTAATAAATTATTGGTAGATAGAGGGGGAAAGGAGAAACAAGACAAGAGAGGAAGAAAACAATCCATCAGCAGCGAGGGACCAAGGCAGAGGGTTTATGAATGTTCCTGGTTCTATTCTTGAGACTTTTCTGAAACTCTGTGAAATGAGGAGTTAAACATACTTGGTGGAAAAGAGACTGAACAAGGCTGATTGTGGTTGAAGCTGAGAGATGAACTTACTGAAATCACTGCATTATCCTTTTCACTTTGGCACGTGTTTAAAATGTTTCATAATAATATGTTTTTAAAGCAAAAACAATACAGTATTCCCTATCCTGAAAAAAATAAAAGGGCATGCTTATACAGCTTACCAGTTTTATATATTTTATATTTAAGACAATTCTTTTTTTATTATTTTATATGCTTTTATTAGTGCATTCTATTTTTAAAAAATAGTTGGGTTCATTTTAACATCAGCACACATGCATGGAAATTAGTTTGTTCAATTTCAGTCTCCAGTGAAGGCTATTCTTAATTCACCTATTGACAACGCTTCAGTACATCTAACTCTCTAGAGACTATTCGTCCCAACTTGCCTGAGGCAAACCAGTTTATACCTATTAACTCAAGGTAATTATTAATAATTCCACACCTACAACTAAAATACAAAAACAGAGGGAGATGAAAAGGTTTAGCAGATTAGCATAGTACGGAAATAAATAATACCTCAACAGGCAACTGTTGAACATACCCAAAGTAAGACACTGTGTTGGACTATGCAACTCAAAACTAAGTAGGGCACAGTAAGTAGTCCCTACATTCAAGTTACTTTTTCTGTTCCACAGGAAGCAGACATCATAGAAAAATCCAATATAACATGGCTAAGGTAATTAAGAGTCAAAGGCATTATGTCCTGGGGAAATGTGAAACATGACATGATAAGACCACCTGCATCTGGATAATTTATTATGGGTGATAAGGGCTCTTGTTGCTTACAACTTTTTATAAAACATTAAAAGCAATAACTGTTCTTTACTGAGTCCTTCAACAAATATTGATTTATGAATATTTACAATGGGCTAGGCACTTGGAAATAATTATTTCCCTTAGGAAATGTAGAGTGAAAGATAAAGACAAACAGGTACTAACACAGTACTACAATGGAGGAAATAGAGTATGTTAAAGGAACCCAAAGGAAGGGAGCCCAGCTGGAGAAAGTAATCTTGAAGCAAGACCGGAGGGATGAGAAGGAGTAACTCAGTAGATGAAGCGTGTTGCAGATAAGGCCGTGGGGATTAAGGCAAAAGTCTTTGTAAAATCAGAGGGAATACAAGTACAAAGGTATGAAACAGAGGTGTGTTAATTGGTTAACTCAAGTAGTTTAATAGCATTCTTAGTGTGCACAAAGGTGGGGGAAGTGTCAGAGTTTGGCTTTTTTTTTTTTTTGGTACTAGAGACTAAATCTGGAGGTGCTTTACCATTGAGTCAGATCCCCAGCTCTTTTCATTTTGAGATAGAGTTTCACTAAGTTGCTGAGGCTGGTCTCCAACTTTAGTCCCTCCTGCCTCAGCCTCCAGAGATTACAAGTGTGTGACACTGCACCTGGCAAGGGAATGGGTAGATTTTTATTTATTTTTGGTATGGGGATTGAACTCAGGGGCACTCAACCACTGAGCCACATCCCCAGCCCTATTTTGTATTTTATTTAAAGACAGGGTCTCACTGAGTTGCCTAGTGCCTCACCATTGCTGAGGCTGGCTTTGAACTCACGATCCTCCTGCCTCAGCCTCCCGAACTGCTGGGATTACAGGCATGTGCCACCATGCCTGGCAGGATGGGTAGATTTTTAATAAGGAATGAAGCCTTAGCAATTAAAAAGATCCAGATCATACATTTCTTCAGTTATCTGAATTTTGGACATTTTGTTGAGGACAGTCTTAAATAAGAAAATAACATTACCAAATATGTGCCTTACTTGATAAGATCACCCTGGCTACAACTATGGAGAACAGATTGGAAAGGCACAGATCAGAGGCAAAAATGTCCAGTTAGTTAGGACCAGGACACCTGCAGTACAGGTGGGGCAGAGAATAGTGACCAGATTTCTTCAGTGAGAGTTACAGGCTAGAATGATGAGAAACAGGTTTGAGGATTTTGTTCTACAGCCTCAAGTTTGATGTGTCTAAGATATTATGGCACACATGAGATGACTAAAAGCTAGCTTTTCCACTGTTGTGCTAATATGGCCATGTAACATGGTTCTAGTCAGTTGACCTGGTACCAATTCTTCCTCTTTCCTGTCTTGAATTCTGAGTAAGAAGTTGTATGCTGGATGCAGTGGTGTACACCGGAAATTCCAGCTACTGGGGAGGCTGAGGCAAGAGGATTGCAAGTTAGAGGCCAGCCTGTCTCAAAATAAAAATTAGGAAAGGGCTTAGAAGTATCTCAGTGGTAGAATGTCCCTGGATTCAATCCCCAGTACTGGGGTGAGTAGGGAGCAGGGGCAGGGGGCAGGATTGTAGTAGCTCTCTTGTGACCCTGAAGGAAAAGTCAAATGAACTGCTGAACTCTGATGATGCTGGACCACTTTATCAGTGTCAGCTGACCTCTAATTTTAGGATGCTCTATATACTCAGATACTTAATTTCCTGCTTGTTTGATGGGTTTTTATTATCTGCACTTGACAAACACCTCATATACATGCAAATGAAAATTTCTTGGACAATGATGTGGGTCTTGAGTAGACATGACGGGAAGATTGAAGAACTTTAGGAATCACCAACATAGATGGTAACTAAATCCAAAGTGGATGAGTTAACTAGGAAGTGAGAAAAGTGCAGAGGGCCAAACTTAAAGACCTTAGAAACACCAAAAGTCAGCAAGGCATGGTGGTACATGCCTGTAATCCCAGGAACTTGAGAGGCTGATGCAGGAGGACTGCAAATTCAAGGACTGCCCTAGCAACTGAGTGAGACCCTGTCTCAAAATTAAACATAAACAAGGCTAGGGAATGTAGCTCAATCAGTAAAGCACCTCTAGTTTCAATCCCCATTATAAAAAAAGGAAACAAAACATCAAGAGTCCTAATCACTTGATGACAGGTACATGTTCTGAGAAATGCCTGATTAGGTGATCTCTTCTGTGGGATCATCTTCAAGTATTCTTATACAAACCAAATGGCTTACCAGTAAATAGCCTATATCTCTTATGCTACAAATTTGTAAAGTATGTGACTGTACTAAATATTGCAGGCAACTGTAACACAAAGGTATTTGTGTTTCTCAATGCATCAGTGAACACAGAGAAAGTATAGTAAAAACACAAGCCAACAGGAAATTTCCAGCTTTTATATATATATATATATAG